TTTTTGTCAAAAAACCTCGGCAAATAATGGGCATAGGTTATGTCAGAAAATTTTAACATGCTCTGCTTATGTATACAATACGGTTAGTTAGATGCGCGCTGCCACTTCTCACTTGTCATCGTGCGACAACGTCAGTGGCAGCGTTTGCGTTGATACAATATGTATGTACATATGTATATATGCATGATTCGTTTGCCAAATATTGCTCACTCAACCAAATTCGTAATGACATTGTTGCTATTTTTGTTGCACTACCCGCAAAGGGTTGATTAAGTTGCCACGTTGTTCATAAAACTCAGAAGGAAATTTCAGAGACCCTACAAACTATATAAGTATATGAGTGATCAGCATGACGAGCTGAGTCGATTTGACCCTGTCCATCTGTATATACACGAGTCGCTCAGTTTTTGAGCTATCAATCTGAAATAACACTATACAATATAGTTCTCATACCATACCGATACTGATCGATCAAAATCTTGTTTTTGTATGAAAAACTTTTTTATTTGACGTGATATCATTGCGAAATGTGATATAAACAGACAACTGTGAAGGGTATTATAGTTTCGTTGCAGCCGAAGTTAACGTTTTTCGTGTTTCTTTATTTATGGCTTTCTCGTTTATTCTATTTTTCTCGTTTTGATTTTTTTATGCTTTTATTTTTGCGCCCTCCTTTTCGGCGCTCTTTTAATTACGGCAACCACAACTACAACATAACGTTTACCGCAACCGAGCGCGCGATGGCAACTGCAGCAACGAAATTTCGCCAGCGTCGCTGTCGGCGCCGGTTGTGCGCTGCTTTATTGAACAAATTTTTTTTCTGCATTGTGTCTGTGTTTGTTGCTATTGTTGTTGTTGTAGTAATACTTTGTTGCTTATTGCTCGTGCGCTTGTCATCATCAACAACTCAGTTGTCTGTCGGTCTTAGTCGCCGGTTAGGCCTGAACATATTATACATAAACGATCAATTAGCCAAGTTAATTCACTGCCTCGTCAGCTGTCGACTGTAGCAGAAGTCTCGTGCGAAACGTGTCGTGTTGAGTGCCGCTTTTTTCTTTCCAAAGGAATCGTTTTTGGCTCGTGCGCATACAAGTCAGCGAAGTGCTTCGTTGTTAGAATACCGGAATTTTGGTTGTGATTTCGTTTGCTTTGTTTTGTTTTTCATTTTCGTGTTTGCTTTCTTCGCTTATTGCATTTACAAAGCAATTTAAAGTGTCGTCCTGCAGAGTGTGCACTGTTATAAAGCTACTTGACGTGCTCAGTAATATTTCGAAGATTTCGTAAAAAGTCGCGAACTGGTTCAAGCAGACCAAGTGCGTCCAAAAAAAAAAAAGTAATCGTAAAGCACCCGTGGTCAAATGTGAGTGTTAATTAATTTCGTTTTAAGCAGTTAAAGTTACAAAAAAGTGTTCTTCTGGTTTCTATATTGTTCCTACTTGAAGCGTGGATCTTTGATTTAAGCTCAGAATAGCAGTTGAATTAAAGCTTGCTTTCCTAAACCAAAAGACTGCTTGATATAGTCCTTATCGAGTCTACGGCGATTTTATAAATCTTCTCTAGATAATACTTCTAGAAACGAACATGTCAAGGCCTTTCCGGTTTAATTATACCGAAGTTAATTTTTCTTCCTCTTTTCGTTGGTATTTTTGCAAGGGAACATGTGCAAAAAATTTTGTGAACCACCTCAGCAAATTATTTATTCAAATTGTTTCATCTTTAAAGTTTGCTTACTTTTCGGTCTTCTACGTCAATTGACGCCTGACGCTCAGTCTTAAGACACCTTTTGTTCTTGCAATTTCATTCAATCAATTTATTTTAGTTTGTTCTGCTTGCTTACTCATTCTACCTCAATATTCTCATTTTGCTTGCTTTTCTTACTTGAAACTTTTCAAATTCTTTGCTTACGCTTAGTCTTAAGCTCTCTTTCAATTTTGTTGTTTCTGTTTTTAGTCTTTTATTTTGGTTTGATTTTTATTTGGTTTTGCTTGCTTACGCATTATTCCTCAATTTTCTCATATCATTATTCTCGTTAAAAATATTTAATAATTTTGTTCCTTATTGTGCTTTCCACGAATTAGGTAGACTCAATTTTTTATTGCATATTGGAGAAAAGGGTTTGGCTTGCTCTCGAACTGTATCATACATTATTAAGCACGTCACAGCAAGTCGTAACAGAGAAGCTTCCAGCTCTGTAATGAGTACATTTACTCCTCAAAGTCAGCTTTTACTAATAGCTAACCCTAAATACTGATATTCAAGGTTAAGAAGTTTGGTAAAAGTTACTAGATATTTGTTGATAAAAAAATCACTGTCGTTCCGTTTGTTTTTCCATTAAATATCTCGCCCCAAAGCAGATGATTTTGTAATGAATTTTGAGTTATGGTACTCTCAAATCATACAAATAATCTGCAAAGCACGGTAATGTCCTACAATCAAAAGGAATTTTATATTGCATGGCAGTCATATTTCTATGATATATGATCAAAGCTTATTAAACTATGTTTAACTATTATATGGTATATGCAATATATAATCGTATAAAATACGAAAAATCCCACAGCAATTAGTTAATTGCTGAACAGTTATTTCGATTCACCATTTTTCTACTCGCTAAGTTTCAGTTCTGATCTCTTGTCATGTAATTTACACGTGAAGCAGCAACAAAGTTATACAGTTGCGCTCAACACAAGACAGTAGATGGGTAGCTCATTGAAGTGGTATATACATACATATTTTCCCTATACGTATGTATTTAGTACTTAGTTGAACGTATGATAGGTGCTCTCTGAGTGGTATAAGCGCTTGCTACTCTATATCGATTCGCCTATACCACTCGGTTTGATTTATGACAACTGTTTGTTCGTTTGAACAATCTCATAAGCTTGGGCGAAGCAAAAACAGCTTATATATTATATTATAAAAACATTTGAAACTTTCAAGGAATCTTTCTTAAACAACTCTTCGTATACTTCGATATTATTCAGCGTTAAACCATTAATTTCAGATGGAATTTCAGGCACTACCACTTACTGGGTGGTTATTCATACTATTTCTGAATCCATATTCGGTATGTAGCAAAGTAGGCAAATATGTTTTTGTTCTTTTTGTCTATATATATTTATAGACAAGTGTTTAGATACTAATCATGTTTGCGCAGTTGTGATGTCCAGCAAATTAACAGTCATATACCCAACTATGTTAGACTTAGGCCGAGTTTCTATATTAATTATTTGCGCCGTACAAAATATTTAAGTAAAGTTTGTGTATAAAAGTCCGATTATAAGACAAATTGTATATCTGATTAAATGATTTAGTCTACCACAACATATGAATCTACTATTCTCAATATTCAAGAAATGGGCTACGAACACTCAAACTGCACATTGACAGCCGGTTGTCAAACTACGCTCACCCTCCATCTTTCAGACGTCACCCAAACCAATTTTTGCGATTTCTATTGATAGTAGTTGCAAAAAATTCAATGTTGTCTGTTTATTGCTTATTTACTTAGCTGATTTGTTTTGTTTCCTTCATATTTGGCTAAATTGACTAAGATAGAATGTCTTTGCTAGGAAAGTGTCAACAAAACTATTGAAAGTTATACGAGTTTGTGTCTACCTTAAATGGACGTAATAATTTCTATTCAATTTCCGATGTCATAATCATTTAAATTGATGCTACAAATGATAATAAGGAGCTGCATTTGTTTTTTTTTTTTAGTTTTATAAAACATAAAATGGGTAAACGACGTCCACGGTGGCTAAGTTGACTGAAAACATACACACTTTGCTAAGTTGCTCATACGGCTATTTAAGGTGATCCGCTCGGTGTTTAAGTAAAATACTAACCACTTTGAGACAGTTTACTACTCGAATTTTCGGCATTTTTCGAAATCGAATATATTGCTTTCATATTATAGTCAGTTATTGGCACGATAAGCACAGTTGAGAGTTCTCTGTAAGAATATATAAAACCTCGATTTTTAGTTTAAGTTTAGCAGAGCAGAATTAGTTACTCGGGTACAAAGAACCTGCTGCCATTGCAACTTCAAAAGTGTTCGCTAGTTTAAGACTGTCATAAAAAGATTTCATATTTCCAAATACCACCATGTTTGAGTTAAATCAATGATGAAACTCTGTAACCGCACGACTGACATTCGCAGGTTCTCATGTTACCCTTGGCAAGGTGAAATATGTGAATTGCCGCGTATGGAGGCGAAACAAGCAATGCCACAAACATTCCTCACCTTGAGAAGTTCGTTGGTGTAGGCATTTCTTGCGCTTTGGAGTATTCTGATGACTTCTTATTTTAAGTCAAAGTTACATCACTTTGTAGAGTACTCATGTACCTTAAGTGTTTACCGAGTTAAGCTTGTAATTGATTTGTAGTAATCTCAACAAACAAATTACCGGGTAACCGGTTTCAGTTCAAATATTTTTACGAACTTGCCATCTATTTGCCCAAATGAAGAACTCAAGGTCATCAGAGTGTTAAGTATGATTTCTGATTATCGTATAATATTATATATATTTTATGTACAGTTTCAGGCATGAAGTTTGTTGTAAATAAAAAGTGATAAAAAACTCCTAAATCCTTAATTTGCAGAGTTCGTTTATTTCGCTTGGATAATAGGCCATGATAACTAAAACTTGTCGTACCCAACAAGTTCCTTTCTGCACTTTTAAAACAATTTTACAGATTGTCGTGCATTGCTTGCTTAAAATTTTTGCATTTTGGAAAAACGACCGTGCAGGAAATCAATAAAAACGTCTATCATTTCCAGCAGCCCCACGTATTTTCGGTGCTTTATCAATGCTTGTTATTAAAAATTTGCTCTTTACAATGTCAAATTCAATATTAACTAGCTTGGCATTTTATCTAATCAATATGCCTATAGGCAAACATCTAATAACTATGTACCGGCATGTGTAAATAATTAATTGTACATGTTCAAACTGTAATTATGAATATGTATGAATGCTTGAATTATAGCTGTTATTGGATCAGCTTGATAGATTATATTTGATAGCTGCATACCTAGTATTTACATATATATTAAAGCAAAAAATGTGAATAAAAATTATGTAGATACACGAATATGTCTAATTATATATGAAATATTGTACCAAATTGTATTTTAATTAGCACCTAATACAAAAGTCGATTTAGTATATAGCTGGTGATTTGTTGTTTATGCTGACAAGTCAATTGGGTATAATTGAGCATTTATGTAGATATGTATATGCTTAGAAATGAATTATAGCTGTCAATGTTCGACTTTTGCAAGCGCAAATCCATTAATAATTTGAGGTGAAATTTCAATTGGGTTCAAAATAGTAAAGTTACAAATATAAATAATATTAAAAATAATTATGTTGACATTTCATGACGTCATTAAAACAAATATCACTTTTATTGAAGTGAAAGTGCACTTAAATATCATCAGTTACTTATTTCGTTGCTCTGTTGCAACACACATGCTGCTCACGGGTTTTTTCCGTAAGAAGAAGTGCAAAATATAATAAAAATTAAGTCCAAAAATCGCGTAAACAATACTGCTTAAGAAAAAGTGAACCAGTTAATTATGTATATAAATATTTGCCTGTCAATGTCAACAATATATTTACGAATTTACATTACCATGTATGTAAGCATGTATTCGTCTGTGAGCCAGATAGCTCCGTACTGCTTGAAAAGTTTGCCTGTCAATATCTTAATTATGTTTTAATTGCTACTAAGAGTTTTATCAGCTGCGATTATTAAAAATGTGACGGAGATTATTTTAAATGTAGACATCATGAACAGGTGATAAGCCAAGCATTGCGGATAGAATACAGGGTGTTGCCTAATAAAATTAGCGTAAAAGGCAGTGAAAAAACATTTTGATGTTTAACGAACTTTGTTTTCGCAGAATTTTCACTGAAACTAATAATTTTGTTCCAAAAAATGGGGTATTTTAATCATTTCGATTAACATAAGAAAAAAATTGCTAAACAAAGCTTATAGATATTCACCTTCTTCGGAGAATTCGGTTTCCATTACACACCTCTCTTTAGGTTTAATATACATACATATGTGTGTATCTTTCAAACCACTAAAGCCAAATCAACCAAATTTGCTCAACACAAATCTTTTTGTTATCCCTCTAACAGTGTGAAAATCGATAAAATCAGATTATAATCCCGCCCACTATCAATATAACGGTTGTGTTAAAAACGAATTTTTGTGAAATTTTGAAAGCAAAATATTCAAAACTCAGCCATTACGACGTCATTTCCGGCAGTCCCTCGGAAAACAGGTGTATTAGCGTTAACAGCAGAACTTCTTACAGGATCATCAAAAGTAAAAAGAAAAAAATGC